ACCAGGAATGTAATGAAGAGAAAAACAGTTGAGAACATGGAGAAACTACAGGAATAACAGAACACCAGAGAGCAGGGAGAGATACCAGAGGGCCAGGAATGAGTACCTCAGAGTGAGGAGAGAAGCAGACAGTATGAAAATGACATCGTGAGTAAAACTAAAACCAAACAAAACTGCTCTACAGCCACATCAGGAGGAAAACTTCAGAGAAGGAACAAGTGATGAAACTGAGGAAATGGGAGAACAGATACATAGAAAACGATAAGGAGAAGTGTGAAGAACTCAACAAGAGATTCCAGGAGGTCTTCACAATAGAACAAGGAGAAGCCCCTGCACTAAATGAGGAGGAGGCAAACCAAGTAACCTTGGAGGAAGTTGACCTCACCAGTGATGAGGTCAAAAGGAATCTGTTGGAGCTGAATGTGACAAAGGCTGTTGGGCCTGACAGAATCTCACCGTGGATACTAAAAGAAGGTGCAGAAGCACTAAGTATGCCACTCTCTATGGTGTATAACAGGTCACTGGAAACAGGAAATCTAGCGGAAAGGTGGAAGACAGGTAATGTAGTCCCCCCAAAAAAAAGGGTGACAGGCAAGAGACACTGAACTATGGGCCAGCTTCCCTAACTTGTATACCATGCAAGGTGAAGGAGAAGATCGTGAGAAAAAGGCTTGTAGAGCATCTGGAGGGAAATAGCTTTGTAATACACCACCAACATGGGTTGAGAGATGGTAAATCGTGCCTCACAGGTTTAATATATATCTATGACCAAGCAACACAAATTTGTCAAGAAAGAGAAGGGTGGGCAGACTGCATTTTCTTGGACTGTCAGAAAGCCTTTGGCACAGTTCCTCACAAAAGGCTATTACAAAAGTTAGAGCAACAGACAGGAGTAAAAGGTGAGGTGCTCCAGTGGATAAGGGAGTATCTAGGCAACAGGTAACAGCGAGTAACAGTGGGGGAGGGGAGACATCAGAGTGGCGAGAAGTCACCAACGGAGTCCCACAGGGCTCTGTACTTAGACCCACCCTGTTTCTAACAGATGTAAACGACCTTCCAGAGGGAATAGACTCATTCCTCTCAATGTTTTTGCTGATGATGCAAAAATTATGAGAAGAATCAAGACACATGAAGATAAGCAGAGACTACAGGACGACCTGGACAAACTGGTAGAATGGTCTAAATAATGCCTACTAAAGTTCAACTCAGGAAAGTGCGAAGTAATGAAATTAGACGAAGGGAGCAGAAGGCTGAACACAAGGTACCATCTGGGAGGTGAAATCCTGCAAGAGTCAAATAGAGAGAAAGATCTGGGGATCGATATCACACCGAACCTGTCCCCAGAGGCCCACATCAAAAGAATATCATCAGCGGCATATGCTAGACTGGCCAACATCAGAACTGCCTTTAGAAACTTGTGTAAAGAATCGTTCAGGATCTTGTATATCACTTATTTACGACCAATCCTGGAGTATGCAGCTCCAGCCTGGAGTCCATACCTAGTTAAACACAAGACAAGGTTGGAGAAAATTCAGAGGTATGCCAACAGACTCGTCCCGGAACTGAGAGGTATGAGCTACGAGGAAAGGCTAAGGGAGATGAACCTCGCATCCCTGGAAAACAGAGGAGTAAGTAGAGACATTATAACCACCTACAAAATTCTAAGGGGAATTGACAGGGTGGACAAAGACAAACTCTTTAGCACGGGTGGAACACGAACACGGAGACACAGGTGGAAATTTAGTACCCAAATGATTCACAGAGACATTAGAAAGAACGTTATAAGTGTCAGAGTAGTTAACAGATGGAATGCATTAGGCAGTGATGTGGTGGAGGCTGACTCCATACACAGTTTCATATGTAGATATGATAGAGCCCAGTAGGCTCAGGAATCTGTACACCAGTTGATTGACAGTTGAGAGACGGGACCAAAGAGCCAAAGCTCAACCCCAGCAAGCACAACTAGGTTAGTACAACTAAGTGAGTAGAGATTTGTAATTCGACTTGAACTGCAGTCGGATCACAAGGTTCCGGGCCCGCTGGGCAGGACGAGACGTTTGGGCAACTTTCCTTACACCTGATACACTCTTCACCGCAGAGGAACCTCGATAAGCCCTAACACACTTTCTGTATCGTGCTGGCTGTACCGTGCTAGCTGTACCGTGCTGGCTGTACCGTGCTGGCTGTACCGTGCTAGCTGTACCGTGCTGGCTGTACCGTGCTGGCTGTACCGTGCTAGCTGTACCGTGCTGGCTGTACCGTGCTGGCTGTACCGTGCTAGCTGTACCGTGCTGGCTGTACCGTGCTAGCTGTACCGTGCTGGCTGTACCGTGCTGGCTGTACCGTGCTAGCTGTACCGTGCTGACTGTACCGTGCTAGCTGTACCGTGCTAGCTGTACCATGCTGGCTGTACCGTGCTAGCTGTACCGTGCTAGCTGTACCGTGCTAGCTGTACCGTGCTGGCTGTACCGTGCTGGCTGTACCGTGCTAGCTGTACCGTGCTGACTGTACCGTGCTAGCTGTACCGTGCTGGCTGTACGGTGCTGGCTATACTGTACTAGCTGTACCGTGCTAGCTGTACCATGCTGGCTGTACCGTACTGGCTGTATCGTGCTGGCTGTACCATGCCGGCTGTACCGTGCTAGCTGTACCATGCTGGTTGTACCGTGCTGGCTGTACTGTGCTAGCTGTACCGCCTGGTACCGCTACAGGTTAGGTTAGGTTTGGTAAGCTAAGGTTAGGTAGGTTAGGTAAGATAAGGTAGGTTAGGTAAGGTAAGATAAGGTAGGTTAGGTAAGGTAAGATAAGGTAGGTTAGGTAAGGTAAGATAAGGTAGGTTAGGTAAGGTAAGATAAGGTAGGTTAGGTAAGGTAAGATAAGGTAGGTTAGGTAAGGTAAGATAAGGTAGGTTAGGTAAGGTAAGATAAGGTAAGTTATCTTGAGGTTATCTTGAGATGATTTCGGGGCTTTTCAGTGTCCCCGCGGCCCGGTCCTCGACCAGGCCTCCACCCCCAGGAAGCAGCCCGTGACAGCTGACTAACACCCAGGTACCTATTTTACTGCTAGGTAACAGGGGCATAGGGTGAAAGAAACTCTGCCCATTGTTTCTCGCCAGCGCCTGGGATCAAACCCAGGACCACAGGATCACAAGTTCAGCGTGCTGTCAGCTCGTCCGACCGGCTCCCAGGTTAGGTAAGGTAAGATAAGGTAGATTAGGTAAGGTAAGATAAGGTAGGTTAGGTAAGGTAAGATAAGGTAGGTTAGGTAAGGTAAGATAAGGTAGGTTAGGTAAGGTAAGGTGGGGTATCTCCTGTACTTAAGGAGGAAGTATTCAACCCGTCTTACGGGCTATTCATGCCCCTGCACCTCCTGGGTGATTTAATCTATCTAGTCAATCAAGCTGTGTTTACACACGCCCTGCATGCCACCCCCGGGACCTGCACTACGGCCTACACATGTGTATAGCCTGTACCCTCTCTGTGTTCTTTATACGCTATATGCTCTATGTGCTCTATGTGCTCTATATATGCTATATATGTACTCTATATACGCTTAATACTCTATATAAGCTATATACTCTATATGTTACACTGTAACTACGTGCACAGTTACAACCACAACAGACCACTGGAACATTCTCACTAAGATTCAACAGAACAGAAAAAGTTGTTAAACACATTGGCCATAATCTTACTGAAGAGACCATATGAGTCATTAATACTCATCCTCCGCCTGAGTAATGTCACCCACCCTTTCTCTCACCCCCCCTCTCTCTCACCCCCCCTCTCTCACCCCCCTCTCTCTCACCCCCCCCCTCACCCACCCTCTCTCACCCACCTCCCCTCCCCCCCCTCTCTCACCCACCCTCTCTCTCACCCACCCTCTCTCACCCACCCTCTCTCACCCCCCCTCTCTCTCACCCACCCTCTCTCACCCACCCTCTCTCACCCACCCTCTCTCACCCCCCCTCTCTCACCCCCCCCTCTCTCACCCACCCCCTCTCCCCCCCCTCTCTCACCCACCCTCTCTCTCACCCACCCTCTCTCACCCACCCTCTCTCACCCACCCTCTCTCACCCACCCTCTCTCTCACCCCACCCCCCTCCCCCCCTCTCTCACCCACCCTCTCTCTCACCCACCCTCTCTCACCCACCCTCTCTCACCCCACCCTCTCTCACCCACCCTCTCTCACCCACCCTCTCTCTCACCCACCCTCTCTCACCCACCCCCTCCCCCCCCTCTCTCACCCCCCCTCTCTCTCACCCACCCTCTCTCTCACCCACCCTCTTTCCCCCCCCCTCTCTCACCCACCCTCTCTCTCACCCCTCCTCTCTCACCCCCCCCCCCTCTCTCACCCACCCTCTCTCACCCACCCTCTCTCTCACCCACCCTCGCTCTCACCCACCCTCTCTCACCCCCCCCTCTCTCTCACCCCACCCCCCTCCCCCCCCTCTCTCACCCCCCCTCTCTCACCCCCCCCTCTCTCTCCCCCCCTCTCTCACCCTCCCTCTCCCCCCCCCTCTCTCACCCCACCCCCCCTCCCCCCCCTCTCTCTCACCCACCCTCTCTCTCACCCACCCTCTCTCACCCACCCTCTCTCACCCACCCTCTCTCTCACCCACCCTCTCTCTCACCCCCCCTCTCTCACCCACCCTCTCTCACCCCCCCTCTCTCACCCCCCCTCTCTCTCACCCCACCCCCCTCCCCCCCCTCTCTCTCACCCACCCTCTCTCTCACCCACCCTCTCTCACCCACCCTCTCTCACCCACCCTCTCTCACCCACCCTCTCTCTCACCCCACCCCTCTCCCCCCCCCCTCTCTCACCCACCCCTCTCTCACCCACCCTCTCTCACCCCCCCTCTCTCACCCACCCTCTCTCACCCCACCCCCTCTCTCACCCCCCTCTCTCACCCCCCCCCTCTCTCACCCCCCCTCTCTCACCCCCCCTCTCTCACCCACCCTCTCTCACCCCCTCTCTCACCCACCCTCTTTCACCCACCCTCTCTCACCCACCCTCTCTCTCACCCCTCCTCTCTCACCCCCCCCCCTCTCTCACCCACCCCTCTCTCTCACCCCACCCCTCTCTCACCCACCCTCTCTCACCCACCCCTCTCACCCACCCTCGCTCTCACCCACCCTCTATCACCCACCCTCTCTCACCCCCCCCCCCCTCCCCCCCCCCCCTCTCACCCACCCCCCTCCCCCCCTCTTCCTCCACAACAGTTGGGTGGCCACCCATAATCACCGGGCGACCTTGATACTTAATGTTCAAGTGGATCACACGGGCCGCCAGCGGTCCCTTCTCACCACCCGCAGCCCACCACCCGCAGCCCACCACCCGCGGGCCCACCACCCCGCGGCCCACCACCCGCAGCCCACCACCCCCAGCCCCACCACCCGCGGCCCACCACCCGCAGCCCACCACCCGCAGCCCACCACCCCCAGCCCACCACCCGCAGCCCCCACCCCCGCGCCCACCACCCCCAGCCCCCCACCCCCGCGGCCCACCACCCGCAGCCCACCACCCGCAGCCCCCACCCCCATCCCCACCACCCGCAGCCCACCACCCCCAGCCCACCACCCTCGGCCCACCACCCGCAGCCCACCACCCCCAGCCCCACCACCCTCGGCCCACCACCCCAGCCCACCACCCGCAGCCCACCACCCCCAGCTCCACCACCCGCAGCCCACCACCCGCGGCCCACCACCCTCAGCCCACCACCCTCAGCCCACCACCCCCAGCCCCACCACCCGCAGCCCACCACCCATCAGCACCCTCAGCCCCACCACACGAAGCCCACCACCCGCGGCCCACCACCCTCAGCCCACCACCCCCAGCCCACCACCCCAGCCCACCACCCCCAGCCCACCACCTGCAGCCCACCACCCGCAGCCCATGCGCACCCTCAGCCCCCACCACACGCGTCCCACCACCCGCGGCCCACCACTCCCAGCCCACAACCCCCTGCCCACCACCCCCGGCCCACCACCCCATCCCACCCCACCACCCGACCCACCACCCCTCAGCCCACCACCCCCGTCCCACCACCCCCTGCCCACCACCCGCAGCCCACCACCCTCGTCCCACCACCCGCAGCCCACCACCCCCTCATCAGCCCACCACCCCCAGCCCACCACCCGCAGCCCATGCCGCACCCTCATCCCCACCACACGCATCCCACCACCCGCGGCCCACCACCCTCGTCCCACCACCCGCTGCCCACCACTCCCAGCCCACAACCCCCTTCCCACCACCCCCGGCCCACCACCCGCAGCCCACCACCCCCCTCCCACCACCCGCATCCCCACCACCCGCAGCCCACCACCCCCTTCCCACCACCCCCCTGCCCACCACCCCCATCCCACCACCCTCATCCCACCACCCCCACCCACCACACCCTCACCCACCACCCACAGCCCACCACCCCAAGCCCACCACCCCCCAGCCCCCACCCCCATCCCACCACCCCTCGCCCACCACCCCCATCCCATCACCCCCAGCCCACCACCCCTCATCCCACCACCCCCAGCTCACCACCCCCCATCCACCACCCCCCGCCCACCTCCCACGGCCCACCACCCCCAGCCCACACCACCCCCTTCCCACCAACCCGGCCCACCACCCGCAGCCCACCACCCGCTCGGCCCAACACCCGCAGCCCCACCACCCCCCATCCCACCACCCCCAGCCCACCACCCCCTTCCCACCACCCTCAGCCCACCACCCCCCAGCCCTCCCCCCCAGCCCACCACCCCCCATCCCACCACCCCGCAGCACACCACCCCCATCCCACCACCTCATCCCACCACCCCCAATCCCACCACCCCATCCCACCCACCCCCATCCCACCACCCCATCCCACCACCCCCATCCCACCACCCACAGCCCACCACCCCCAGCCCACCACCCTCAGCCCCCACCACCCCCATCCCCACCACCCCCATCCCACCACCCCCATCCCACCACCCCCAGCCCACCATCCACATCCCACCACCCCCATCCCACCACCCCCAGCCCACCACCCCCAGCCCACCACCCCCCCCCACAACCCCTCATCCCACCACCCCAGCCCACCACCCCCATCCCACCACCCCCACCCACCACCCCCATCCCACCACCCTCATCCCACCACCCCCATCCCACCACCCCCATCCCACCACCCCCATCCCACCACCCCCATCCCACCACCCCCCACCTCTCCCACCACCCCCAGCCCACCACCTCCATCCCACCACCCCCAGCCCACCACCCCCATCCCACCACCCTCCCACCACACATCCCACCACCTCCCATCCCACCACCCCCATCCCACCACCCCCAGCCCACCACCCTCATCCCTTACCCTCATCCCACCACCCCCAGCCCACCACCCCCATCCCACCACCCCCATCCCACCACCCCCATCCCCCCACCCCCAGCCCACCACCCCCCATCCCACCACCCCCATCCCACCCACCCCCATCCCACATCCCACCATCCCTCACCACCCCCATCCCACCACCCCCCAGCCCACCACCCCCCCTCACCCATCCCACCACCCACAGCCCACCACACCCACCCTCCCCCAGCCCACCACCCGCATCCCCACCACCCATCCCCCCCATCCCACCCC